TCCATCCATCCATCCATCCATCCATCCATCCATCCATCTCTTTCTACAGCCACCTCCTCCAGCTCTTCTGGGAGGACTCCAACATGTTCCCAGGTCACCAGGGTCTCCTCCCAGTCAGACATGCCTGAAGCACCTCCCTAGGGAGGCACCCAGGGAGCATCCTTACCAGATGAACCACCTCACCTGTCTCCTCTGGACGTGGAGGAGCAGCGGTTCTACTCTGAGTCTCTCCTGATAACTGAACTTCTCCCCTGTCTCTGAGGGAGAGTCCAGCTCTGCAGAGGAAACTCATTTCAACCTCCTGGATCCACGAGCTCATTCTTTCAGTCTCTACCAGAGTTCATGACCAGAGGTGAGGGGAGGAACGTAGACCGACCAGTAAACAGAGAGCTTTGTCTTACAGCTCAGCTCTCTCTTCACCACAACGGACCGACACAGAGTTCGCAATACTGCAGATGCTGCACCAATCCATCTGTCAGTCTCACGCTCCATTCTTTCCTCACTTGTGAACAAAACCCCGAGATGCTTGAACTCCTCCACTTGAGGCAGAACCTCGACCCGAAGAGAACGATCCATCCTTTTCTGACTGAGGACCGCGGCCTCAGATTAGGAGGTGCTGGTTCTCATCCCAGCTGCTTCACACTCGGCTGCGAACCGCTCCAGTGAGAGCTGGAGATCACGGCACGATGACGCCAACAGGACCACATCATCTGCAAAGAGTAGAGATGAATCCTGAGGCCACTGAACCGTACTCCCTCCTCCCCCTGGCTGCACCGAGAAGTTCTAACAATAAAAGTTATGAACAGAATCTGTGACAACTAGCAGCCCTGGAGGAGTCCAACTCCCACCCTGAAGGCAGTGGTGTAGTCTACATTTTTCTAGTGGGTATACTCTGAATACCCGAGCATCGCTTCGACTACACCACTGCCTGAAGGGGTCAGACTTACTACCGGCAATGGGAACCAAACTCTTGCACCGCTTGTACATCATCATAATCTCATAAAGCACTGGATGAATTTAATGAAACTTGCAGAAATACAAATGGATGTTCATGTAGACTGATCACCTTTTGGGGTCAATTAATTTTAAGATAAGTGCCACAGGTAGTCAACCTTAGCAAACAACTCGGTCAAATTTACAGACTGAGCCCAAACGTGGTGTGACCGAAGCCGAGTCATCCTCAACACATAGTTTGAGCTCTTGTGAGATCTAACATGAAATCATAAAGTCAGTTACAAGGTTTGACCAAACCAGCTGCAACTTTGTTCCCTCTCCTCCTAACATGATCTTTGTTTAACGCTCTGGTGGTGGGGTCGATTCTTTCCTTCGAGGGACTCGAGGGTTTTAATTAGATTTAAGGTTTTCAGGACCCAGGTTACTCACACAGTCCACAGCGGGTCCCTCCTTCGAACACAAAGCCGTTTGGCACGGCGCCGAACCGACGCAGCGCCGACAGCTTCCAGCTGCCGACGACGACAGGAGGGAGGCCCCGGGTAAGGACCAGCAGGTTGTTGCACAGGTGGAGGGAGGCGGGGCCACTTTCCAGTTTGGTGCCTGGCTCGACGTCGACGCTGAACCTGTGGACTGAACGGGGAGGATTTAAAAAGTTTGAAAAGATGGAACGGAGAGTGCTCCACTTTCTCAAGGAGCTGTAATAACTCACCTGGAGAGTCATTAATCATCAAGAGAATGAGCCACAGAGCAGGTGGAGGTGGAGCACCACAACAGAAGCAGAGCCTCTGGGTGTGTCCCGTAAACAAACACAAGGACGTGGCCGGTAGCTGGGGCAATGATGATTAAACCGTTGTTGGGCTCTGCTGCTCCTAATTAGTCTGGTTTGTGCAGATGGCACATGGTCCGTCTGCGGCCCTGAAGTTTGTGAGTTTTGATCAAACAAGTTTCAAGCGTCATTTAAAGCTGGCTCTCACTCAGTAAACTAAACTTCAGGTATACATCGTGACCATCGCTCGTTGTGGTTTTTAACAGAATAACAAGCATTTAAATTAAACTGGAGAAGTTTATCTGGCGTCTTGTTCCACAACTCTTTGTCTTCTGGTTCTGCCATCTACTCGCACAAGACTCAATCAGAACATTTCCCTTCGTGGTTTCACGACGGGGCACGAGTCCAACTCTAACTCCTGTAGACGTCTAAAGACCCATCTCTTCTGTGAAACCCGTCAAGTTTAACACCTCAGACACGTGTAGCCCAGTCTGAACAGTGCACACCAAGTTCATAGTAATATTATTTAAGTTTAAAAACAATGTCTAAGTGATAAAAGTGGAATAAATATGAAAGATAAAAAAACCTCCTTTGTCATTTAGAAATGTATAATTTTAAAAACAGTTCATATTTGGTCAAGAAAATCTAGTTTAAGCATTTTGAAACAGGTAGTTGTCATTTCTACTACGTTCCTTGAATGTTACATAAAAGTTGTTTAAGGGGTTCATGCCACGTGGCAGATTACAACCTACTCTTTGAGTTGTGCTAACTTTGCCCAATCAGAAGGGAGTGGGCGGGACTAATGGTACGCTGCATGAAACGTGGGTCTGTGTGAAAACCAGACGAGTGCAGAGAGCACAGCGACGCAGACGTGGGACAATAGCAGAGTAAAGCTGTCCATTACGTTAATGCAGAGTTGCCGACTGTAACGGACTTTAAGAAGCAAATGAAAGGTACGTACCTGTGTGTGTATGTTTTATGCTGCTTCAGAATGATGCAGTGTGTAGATGAAAACCGTGCTAAGTGCAACTAGCATTTTAGCAAGCTAGCACGATGTAGCAGCTCGGGTTTTTGTATATTGAAATGTAAATGACAGTGGCTGGTTAAGCTCTTAATGGCTCCATATGAGAAGCCAGTGTGTTTTAATAAGGGATATATACGGACTGAGAGCTGTTGATGTGTGCAGTGGACCAGCAGCTCAACTTTGGATGAGTTAGAAGTTCCCCATTCAGCCGCTGGATCCCCATCTGTGACTTCAGTGTTCGTGTGACATCACCTGCCTACTCACCTTGCTCAGTGCCATATTAAAGGGATCTCCACATCTACCTTTTCCTGACCCAATCTAAAACTTTGCAGGATTTGTGAGTGCAAACCTAAACCAAATGCACGTGCTTTTTATTTTATTTGCTCAGTGAGCGAACGAGCCGTTCGTTTTTAGCTCCCACGCACCCAAGCATCGATTCAGGCCTGCAGCGGGTTATATTGGGGTTGAATTTTATGTTTGAAAAGCCTTACTTGAAATATTAAGGGGTAATTTGGACTGCAAATAGTTTGGGGTTGAAAACACTAAAAAAAATTGTTTTTGTTTTTATTTTATTTACGTGTTTTTTCTTTATTAAAAGTGTCTTTAAAATTTAAATCAGGCATCAATCAGTGTCTTATTTGAAAGTTACTTTAAGTGTTTTTTGTATTCCAAGGGACTGTATTTAATATACACATACATTAATCATAAGTAAATTCTTATTGGGTTAAACAAACTGTAAAGTCATAATCTCCTGCTAAATGGAGGCACCGCCGTTAAATTAAATATAAACAGTAAATTGTATTTCCTGTAAGCTGTTAGTAGTTATCTTTAGAATAATGTTCCCAGGGCCCCGTCCAATGTACAATATTCAATCTAACCTATTGATCAACTCTTTAGCTACGTGGTACCTGTCTTAAGCATTTCTGGGTCTCCTCAGCTTCTATCTGAAAAGATTCAGGACTAAAAGCTCATGTCAGGATTTCCTACAGTGCTGACGCTTTAATATTATTTCTTGCTTGTAAGTTGCTTTCAAATGAAAAATGACCAAACTTTGTGTTCATCAGTCAAAAGACAAAAATGCTCTTTTTTTTATCTCAGCGAAACTTCTCATCCTCAGAGATCGAGCAGCAACTTCTCATCAGCTTCAGGTATTTGACCCGTTACAGCGTCTATAAAACGTGTTTTATCCGTGTGATAAACTTGGACATTTTATACAAAGATCGCCTTCTAATCATCCCTTTTCATAAACAAGCGAATTATAAAACAAAAAGAAGTACCGGTACATTTCACCAACTCAGAGAGTCAGCAGGAGAGAAAATAAACCAAAAAAAGATTAAATCTGTTTAAAGTGATGCTGATCGTCTCTTTCTGACAGCTCGTACGGATAAAAGTGGCTCATCCTCGGCTTCGTGAGCAAACGTTTTAATCTAAAGTTCAGGATTAACAGCGTTTTCACATTTATACGACAGGCCAATGAAGAGTTGACGTCATTTTTTTAGTTACCTACGTGCGAGAAGACAAACCAAGAGCGACGACAGCTTCATGCTGCCTTCTGTTCGCAGCGCAGAGGCTAACCTCATCAAAACTTAAGTAAACTACGGTCATTCTTTCACATGGTTCCCAACACAGGTCCTTGAGGAACACCATCCTGCATGTTTTAGTTGTTTTCTTGCTCCAACACACCTGACTCAGTGATTTAATGACTTCCTCGTGTTCTGCAGAAGCCTGTTAATCACCAATTCATTTAAATCAGATGTGTCAAAGCAGGGAAACAACTCAAACGTGCAGGATGGCGTTCCTCAAGGACCAGGGTTGGGAACCGCTGGGTTAGAACAACAGCGGGGTTGTGACACGTCGCTACAGCACTGACCTTCACCCAGGCTGTAGCGGAGGCGGGTATCCCAGGCCAGCAGGGCGTCTCGGCTGCTGAAGCCCAGGACCAGCGAGTGTGCCAGGCAAAGAATGGAGAGGGTGTAGGAGACGCCTTCATACCCCGGGCCCGGCTCCACGCCGCAGATCCCCTGAACGGAGGAAATTATACGCACATTCAAATAAAAACGCCCTCGTTTATAAGATGGGTTTTTCCAGCAATGCAATTAAAACATAACTTTTTGATTTATGGTTTATTTAAACTGAGCTCTGATGAATCTGAAAAAATAATGTGACGTTATGACGAGCGCTCATTTTCTCACCACTTGGTGTCAAAATAAAATGTGAGACCGGAGAAATTACTGAGTGCTGGATGACTGCTGAATAAGCTGAAACTGAGCTGTTGAAGCTAAAACAAGCAGAACACTAGCTAAAAGCTAAAAGTAGAAAAGAGGTAGGTAGAAGCTGAGAGTAGCAAAAGGCTAGCTAAAGGTTTACAGGAGCAGAATGGTAGCTAAAAGCAGCAAAACAAGGCTAAAATAGAACGTTTGCTGGAGATTTTAAAGGGGACGATATTTAAGAGATCTGAGTTTTTCTGTTTATAAAGATAAATATTTTGAAAGGTGTAAAAGTTAAAAGAACTAAAAGTCATGGCACCCGTCTCTTCAACGAGCTGCACGTTTTGATACACGAAGCGCTAAAACAGCACAATGCATGCAGAAGTTTTCAGACTGAAGAAAATGTACAGAAAATAAATTACATTGTTTTTCTCAAGCAAACAAGAAAGCTCTTGAAACGTTTAAACAAAACATTTTAAATACACTTGTATAAATAATTATGTCATAGAGTTATGTGTACGGTATATTTTGTATTTATTATAAAACGTTACTAGAACCTCCTTCTTCCACCTGCGTAATATCATTTAAATTAAAAACATTTTATTTAAAAATGATGCAGAAGAACTGGTCCATGCATTTGTCACGTCTAGACTGGACTATTGCAATGGTTTATTATCTGGGTGTCCAAATACTTCTTTAAAACGTCTTCAGTTGATCCAAAATGCTGCTGCCAGAGTCTTAACTGGAGTTACTGGGAGAGATCATATTTCTCCAGTTTTAGCTTCTCTCCACAGGCTCCCTGTCAAATCCAGAATAGAATTCAAAATCTTACTTCTAACCTACAAAGCCCTCAACAACCTAGCTCCATCTTATATTACAGATCTTGTTCCATATTTTCCCAACAGAGCACTTCACTCTCAGACTGCAGGTTTACTTGTGGTTCCTAGAGTTTACAAAATCAGAATGGGAGGAAGATCTTTCAGTTCTCAGGCTCCTCTCTTGTGGAACCAACTTCCAGTTTCTGTCCATGAGGCTGACACATTGTCCAGTTTGAAGACTTTCCTTTTTGATAAATCCTATAGTTAGGGTTGGGTTTCCTGAGCTATCCCTTAGTTCTGCTGCTATAGGCTTAGACTGCTGGAGGACAAACTGACTGTATTCTTCTCTCTGCTACTGTCTTTACTTACTCTACTCTCTACCTGTTTGTAATTATTTTCTCTCCTTGACGTGTTTTTTTGTCTTTCTTCCTATAAGGGTTACACCTG